CTCAACATTTAATTTTGAATGCGATTTCATGTTTACCGGTCATTGCATGCAGGAAAGGAAAATAAAATGTGTTATTGTCGGAAGTATAATTTGAGTAATTGCTATAAAAGAGAGCATAAGGTCCATTATCATTACGTTAAAAAAATGAGGAGCACTTAATTTTTTTCAGCATTTATCTCAAATTCCCAGCAATCATGAAATGTATACATAAATCACTGTCTGCTGTTGCGTGCCAAATAAAATGAAAACGATATTTTCGTTTAATGTTTATTTCATATATTGGATTTAATACAATTTAAATGAAATTAAAAATGATGTAATATCACATATTAAAAAACAACAAAATCAAAAAATATCTAAAAAATTTTGGAAGCTAAAAAAATATTTTTGAGCTTCTAAAGAAAATATTAGAATATTATTATAAGAAAGTAAGTAAAAATATTATCCCTATCAGCGTCATTTTCCTATACATTAGTTTTTTTATAACAACCTACATTCCGGCATCAGTAAATTTTGTTACCAAAAAGTTCAAAATCAAGCAGCAATCAACCGTTCCCATTGTAAACGATTCGATGAAATATCTATGTTCCAAAATTTTTAGTTGGAATGGAATTTATGTTTTTGTTTATTTATGTTAACCACACAAAATGTTTATACAACCACATCAGCTACAACAATTTGTTGCCATTTGTTTTCGTTTTCCAGTGGGCAGTTTGTCTAAACAACCAATTTTTTTTATTTTCAATACCTGCTGACTTTTTAAATAATTAGTTTATAATTATTTTTTGTAGAAAAGAAAAAAAGGAAATAAATGGCTAGCAAGGTTTTTACGATACCCACCGCCTTCTATATAAACAAAATTATAATTTATGTTCTGGCTGCGTGTTACGGTGTTTATTAGGGTGTTCTAAAAACACAAATTGTTTCAAATTTTATTTTCCGTTTTAAATTTTCAAGTTTTTAAAATGCTATTGAGGTACTAAAAGAAGTGATCTTATAAAATCCCATCTTCAAACATGAATCAAGCTAGGCTTAAATATTAGGCAGTGCAAAATTTAGTTCAAATCGGATGCTTCGTTCACATTATATTATAAAAAAAAACTAGTTTTTAAAAAATTTTGATGATTTTGTGGTGTGAACAGAAGGAGTGAAATGATATCACTGTGCCACAATATTTTGGGGGGTGGAAAATTCCTATTGGTTATGAAAGACCTTTGTGAGTATATGAAAACTCCACAAGGAAAAAATCGCCATTTGAAATCGTTTCCAAATTTGCCTATTTTTCCTAATTTGCGGAAATAAACAAAAAAAAATCATTGCATGTCATGTTAAAAGTCGGATTTGAACTGATTTAAGCCGATGTGTAAGTTTTCACATTGTCATTGTCCATATCACTGAGCCGCATGATTTTGGGGGTGGAAAATTCGTATTGGCGATAGAAGACCATGTTGAGTATATGAAAACCGCAGAAGAAGGTGAATGTTCGGAGATATGGCGAGATCATTTTTTGTTTGCTGTGGACCCAATTATAATTGAAGCGATAGCTTCATATCTTGATCTGTAGCTATTGTATGTACTTTTTTATTGAGATTACATTTCTGCACTAAAATCGAATGAGGAATTTTTTTGTAGAACATTTCGTCCTTCTAACCCGATTCCTTGAGTGTCTTTTTCATTCTTAATTTATTGAACCGGATTCCAATTATCACAAGATGTAATTTTTCATCATCGCAATATTCTGCAAAAAGGTAGGTTCATCAAAGACGTGCAATCGTTATTTTAATGTTTTATTTGTTTATTCTTAATTCTACGCGTTTCTTGTTACCAAAATCATATAGGTATCAAACAAATTTTAAGGCAAAAAGAACCGGGTTTCAAAATTTTTGAACCGGATATTCGGATAATAAACCGGTTTCCATATATTATATGAATATCTTTAGAAAGGTGGAAACAAATTTATTGAAATACATGTCTAAATATAGGGGCTTTGTGATAAAAAACGGATAAATTTGAGAATAGACCATTAAAGCGTATAAATATCGGTTCAAGTCTTTGAGGACCTCGCCTAAAATCTTATGAGCAACTATTTTTGCAAAATACTATAATTAAGAACGAATAGGACTCACAAGGAATCGATATGATCCACAAAGAAAATCTAAATTTCCTCGTACAATAGGGTCGCCAGCAAAAAAAAAAAAAAAAAAAAAAAAGCTTTTAATTTCCTATAGGAATTGTCCACCCCCAAGATCATGAACTCGAATTTGTTGCACATTGTATTCCGCATCTTCGATTTTGTTCTATACTGGGAAGAAATATTTCGACTTGCAATGTGTTGATAGATTGGGTTATACCCATCGATAGTTATTGTGTTCACCAGCCAGTCTGGAAAACAGACGTACATTTGGAAATCAAATCCAAATTTTGTGAAACTGATTTGGTACAAAGAAATATGGGATTTAACGTCAATATTTTGATGAGACACATTTTTGTCGTAGGGTATAAAAATGCATAAAAAGTGTAATAAGGAAGATTTTGAAAACCAGCCTTATGGCTAATGAGGGTATATACACTTTCATACGTCAAAAATTTACCTCATAAAAATATGGATATTTCTTAGGACCAAACCTGTTTCAGACAATTTGGAGTTGATTTAAAATGTCCATCCGTCTCTCTGACTGTCCGGCCGGCTATTGCGCAAGACAACTGCCCGATTTCATCCAAACTTTGTACATCGTAATATTTCTACCAAACTTTGTTAATGTTCGAAGTTGGGAATATCGGTCCACTGCTTCTGGTACCTCCCCCACAAAATGGTCAGAATTGTGCTACAAATTAATTTTATAACAGAACTACCACTGAACTTCAACTGTTTGTGGGGCTGATTCCCGAACACGGTAAAATTTCGAATTATTTACTAATCTCTTTTTAAAAACTGTCACCTTTTCCGTATCATGTATTGACGGACTGAACATCTACAAGGACATTTTTTTCCTTTTCACCCAAAGTAAAAAGTTCATGGTGTTCGGGTTATAATGTTGATTTCTCGAGTGACCAGAAACCCAACATAAATGAAGTTTTTGGTCTATTCTATTCCCTAAGTATTTAGCGATTATTACCAAAAAATATAGGTATAGTCCGAACCGATCTCATGTGACAAATTGCATGACGTTTGCTCCATAACAGCCGTCTATACTTTGATATCAAAGTATAGTTGATTGCTTCAACTAGCGATATACGACGGTATGCTAAAAGGGTTTAGGACCAATACTTCGTGGTTTTACAAAGTCTTGATTACACACACAAACTTATACTAACCTCCCAACATAGGTAGTAGTGTAGGGTATAAATATTATTTATCTCGTTTGCCTACTCATTGTGAAAGTTGCCATAAAACAATAATAATTAATATTAATTATTTTTATATTTCCTGCATCATCAGTTCACTTATTCTCACTCTCTCTCTCCTTCAGAGTTTAAGTTTATTTGCGTTTTTTTGCTGAAAAGGGAAACCACTTTTTGTAAACAAAATCTTGAATTTTAAAATACAAATTATTTAAGTTTTTTTTCTTAAAATGAATTGTGGTGCGCCCACCTTAAATAAAAATACAACAACAAAAATCGAATCTCTTATACCCGCATGTACTTCAATTGACGACGACCCATGAATTGGTAGTGATTGGACAGACAACTGAAGTCAAGTGACAACTATGCAAATAAATTATATTCACAATATGAAGGTAAAAATGTCAAGTGGTGTAGGATTTGGCTATGAATTCGATATTTCAAAATAAAAATTAAAAATAAAAAACAACAACAAACAGACAGACAGTCAGTTAAATATTGCAAAGTATTATGGACGTGGCAATGACTTTGTTGTTTGCTTTGATTGCACTTGACAGGAAAACAAAAAACACCAGCAAACAACAAAATGAATTGTTGTATTTTAGTGTTTATTGTCATGGCTAATCATATTTGGTAATAAATTTTCATAGGAATAACAAAAACAACATACACACTTTGGGCGTACGACTTAACCTAAAGAACGTTACAGGCCCACATTCGAGTTGAAACAAGATCGTGAATATTCCCAAATTGGCCAAGATCATTTAATTAAAAAATGTAAATTATGTGTTTGTTTTTTATTTTCAAAATTAATACATAATTCATAGCAATCCTCTTACTACACATGGAGTTTTTAATTATAATGTAATGAACAATATTTTGTTATAAATATTCTATAGTAAAATCTCAAAAATGAAAAAAAAATCAGAAGAAAAGAGATGAGATAACAAAATACTAATTTTATTGTTGTTGTAGCTATATTACTCTAAACAATGTGCTGAGGTGATAGATGTTGACCGAGTAAGACTCGGGTCGTTTCGGATCGTAGACCCCTCTGTTGTGAAAGCACCCTAATTTTGTGATTATTTTTAAAATTTTCATTGTTAGAAGGGTTCCACTGTACTCATTAAAACTATTTAGTTGGGATTTTGCGAATGATTCAATATTTTTTATTAGTCTCATAAAATAAAGTTCAGGGTTTTTTTTTGTATTCATACATGTGGGTGGCTTCTCATTTAAAACTCTTCAATTTCAGCGAAGTTTTTTGTTTGCGCCATAAAATCAATGAACCTGCAGTAAACAATAATTATGGTCGATTCCAAAAATAAATTCATTTTTTTTTCCAAATTGACAAAAAACTGGTAGCAAATATTTTAATTAACTCAATTAAGACATTTATGGCAGCAGTAATTATCGTTGATATTTGATTGACATTGTAACGACATTTCGTCATTAGATTAAATCAAATTAAAAATCGTATACTCGTATTAAAATTGGTTCTTAATAAAGGAAATTGTGGCGAACAGTTAACTACTAGACATTGTTAAATTTAAACCCCAGGATTTTAGTTTAAATATACTCGATGGAATTATTGGTATATAATAATAGGAAAATTTTAAAATTATATCTTATTAAAATTAAAAAAAATTTCGACTTACCAGCACGGAACACTTCACCGCATCCATCGCAGCGCGATGCAAATTGGGCATCATAACAGTTGCCACAGTAGATCTTATCGGCCTTAGCACCGAATTGTTTGTCCACCAACGACAGATGACACTTGAAGCACAAGAAACAGGCCTCATGCCAATGCTTGTCTTTGTATGACAAATCCTAAAGAAAGAGATAGAGAGAAAATTGAGGCAAACAATTTAAAATATTTTTTGGCATAAATAAAAAAAAAAAAACATTTAAATGAAAATGATTTATGAAATATTTCTATTCACGCCCCATAGATGCCCTAATATTTATTATTTCATATTAATTGTGATTTATATCAGACATTTTGTATGAAAATATTTTTTTTGTATTGCTTAGTCATTTTTTTCTCGAAGTGTTTGTCTTTTGGCTATTCTGGGTAAAAAATCTATAAAATTTATTTCTTGAAATATTTTTTTATGCATAATATTTGAAATATTTTTGATAATTGATCATACTTTGTAATTTTTTTGAAAATAACAAATACTGCTGAATTATAAGGGATTTCATTTGTGCTTAAAGGCCAGCTGAATATTTTTAAATGAATTAAATGAATGAATTTTTAAACGAATGTGTTAAATATATTACATAAATATTATTATTATTATTTTATATTATTTATTAAGGATATTACAGCATTGTGCGGCCTCAACAGTTTGTAACGCCGCAAAATGTTAGCCATAGTGGGTCCAGTTCTGGTCAAAGATTATCCCAATTGTTTTTTATAATAATCGGTTAGTTTTAGGGGATGGAATGAACAAACAACTTTATTTTTATCGGCCCCAGATTTTATGACCCTAACATCATGAAATGTTACACAGAGAAAGAGGTCTGACCATGGAATAAACATGATTATAAGGAGTGGTTGAGGGGACCCCCCATTCTCAGTTTCATAAAATTGATTTATGGGTCGATTATGGATAGCAACCAAACTTCAGTTGCGATTTCTACTGGCAACGCCACTGAAGTAAAATTTAACATTATAGTTCCGTTCCAGAACCTACAAGAATCTTCTAATTTTACATGTTTTGCAACTTTTTACACGAAAACCGTTCCTCAACCCACAAAACTGGTAAAACTTTGAATCAAATTTGAGAGAGCACAAAACAAAATGGCGTTCTCTTTGTAAACTTTTTACTCGAGAACAGTGCTGTCAGTTAAATTTCATGAAAAATCGTCAATTTTTCAGAAAAAATCGGCATAATCGGCATTTGTATTTTTAAAAATCGGCAGCATATAATTTATAAATAAATTCATATTTTTGGTTTATAACAAATCAATATTGTTTATTACATTAATAATTCTATATAAAAAAATAACATAAAAGATTCATTTTTCTACAAAAACAGTAGATTTTTCTAAAATATAGTAATTATTATGTACTCTAGTGAGATCTTTCAGATTTACGTATATCACAGGTCATAAAAATAACTTACAAACTAGTACATATTTTTATTACACATTTTTAGTAATTCATTATCAATTTTGATATTAAAACAATTTGAATTATTTAGTTTGAGGTAATCTTTAGAATAAAGAATCCCGTCAATGAATCATTCTCGAGTGAGCTTCTAATTTTAGTTTTGTTAAGGTTTACCTGACTAAAAATTCGTTCCACATTTGCTGTGGAGTGTGGAAGAACCATAATTCTTTGTACAAATTTAGACAAAATTGGAAAAGCTAAATTGGAGTCCCCACATTTAATTTCGGAAATTTTTTCCAAAAACTTTTTAAATTATATTCTGCATTTTCAAAAATTTCTTCAAAATTCAGAAAGTTTAACTCCCTAAACTCGGAGTCTAAAGATTGCCTCTCATTTTCAAAAATAAAATCGGGGAATTCTTTTAAAATATCTAGAAAAGAATTATTACCCTTCTTCATTACTCTTCCAGGATCAATAAGTTTTAATCATTTAAATGAATTTAAACTAAAATCAAAACGTTTTAATATTTGGTTTTCAATTTCTATATGAAAATTAATGCAAGTGCTAACTATTTTGTCTATGTCATTTTTGGAAAGTTTTGTTTCTGAAACAATATCTTTTGCATATAAACCCAAATATACTTCATCATATTCTAAAAAATTGTTCGTGCCCATGATGTAAAATGTAAACTAGACAGAGTACAATGCTGACAAAAAATGCAGATATCTAAGCCATTGAAAACGGCTGCGGCGTGTCGCCGATAGTTATAAGAGTCTAAACGCAACCATAGAGTCTAGAGTCAGCGACAGTCGTTTGCCGTGTGTTTCTTATAGGCAACGGCAAATCGCGACGGCTGACGTTCGCGTCTAGCGGCATGACGCTAGAATAGATTTTATTCATTTTTGCTCAGCGACATACTCAAAATTTCTCACTTGCTCTCAATTGAGTTGCCGTATTTTAGGTAAAAATCAACAGTGCTGCCAAATTTTAATGATAATTTATATCAAAACATATGGCAGTACTGTTAAAAAAACAAATATTTTCAAAGATTGTGGATGTTTTTTAATGAATTATTAATAAAATGGAAGAAAAATATTTTTTTCAATAATTTTATCCAAATTCCTTGACATTATTGTTTATTAAATAATAAATTGATTTTGGTTTGCACAACGTAAAATTTTCTGTCAGAAAATGAAAACAAATAATTGACATTTTGTGCCGCTAACGCTAACTCATTCGTTTGGTTTTCACGCCGGCGAAAAAGTATAACGTTGACTCGTGACTCTCTGGTTGCGTTTAGACTCTAATGATTTAAAGCTGCCAATTTTATATGTTTGTATGGTAACGCCGTATTAAATTAAAAGGTTAGACAATTTGTGTCGATTGTTGAAATATCGGCAATTCTGGGGCAAAAATCGGAAAATCGGCATTTTCCATTTTTAGAGTGAAAAATCGTCAAAATGACGATAAATCGGCAAATATGGCAGCCCTGCTCGAGAAATTTGGCCGAGTGAAAACAGGTATGCCTACTACTGATTGCCTGTTATGTTGATTTTGAAGTATGACCATCTAATGATGGTATATTTACTAGATTTGCGTTCTGGAACTTTTCAAATTATTTTGTACTCTAGAGCAATTTTGAAATGTTTCCCTTTTACTAGATTTACTATTTAAAGTACTGGAACAGACCGTATGAATATCAACTTTTCTCAGTTGCTGTCGATAATACTGTTTTGGCACTTCTTCAACTAGAAATATTGTAAACAAACAACAAATTGAATAGAATATTTCAGAAAAACTAATTATAAGTGATGAAAAGTCATTGGAACTATTTTTTGATGATGAAAATTATGTGCAAGGCGTATAATCTATTAGAAGGCATTTAAGAGATAAATCCAATCCATTAGAACTACCATCCGTACTGTGAGTAGATGTTTCTGTTTAGAGAAATGTTCAATCAACTGCCCATTTTAGCTTTAAGGCGTATTTTCGGCTACCTAAAAATGCCGTTGTGTACTTATTTGATGCATTAAACCCTGTTTTCCCAAAAACCCGACGGCTACCCCTCTCTTAAAAGTGTGTGAAGCTCTAAGGTTTTTTTGCGGAGGCAATGACTTCAACCTTGGCATGGCTCAATCCACAATGTCGGTGGTTTTGACCGAAGTTGTCCGGCTAATAGAGAAAACAAAGTTCCGGGTGTTGTCGGATGTATAGATGGCATACACGTACATATCATGGTCCTAAAAGAAGATGTTCGCCATTTTGTAGTAATGTTAACCATTATTCCAACCAAATTTCAGTTCTTATTGCTAAACACGACTAAACAGCAACCAGAAATAAATGGTTGCCGAAAAATTCTATTTTAAGCAACTGACAACAGTTGCCATCCATAATTCAAATTTGGCAAGTGGCAAAGCCACTAAACTATGGATACCATCCGTAATCGACCCATAAGTCTTCAAAGACATGTATGAAAAGTTAAAAGCCTTTAACATAATGTATGCTCATTTAGCAGCCGGTTAAAACTCTTCGAAATTTGAAATCGGGATGCGAGAGTTATACAATAAACATAACCGGGTCCTATGTATTCTTATATTTTTAGTATTACCATTAGCACATTAGAGTGGAAAATGTAGAGTTGATGGCTTGGAAATGTTACATGACGTTCAGGACGACGTGTATAATTTTCGATAATGATCAGAAGATATTTCGAATATCACAAATTTTTCATGGAGAAGACGATTAGACCAAGTAATTCGAATGGTTTTCATGATAATGAAGGTCGATATTAAGCTGGTCAAATGATGCCACAGAAGAGCTATTGACATCTAATCGGTCAAGAAAGTGCAAATATCGCGAAATATTTCCCACACTCGGAATATAGATTCGCAGAAACTTAGAAGTCAGTGGTAGTTGTGAAGGATATCATACGGTCGTCCCCATTCTGCTATACTTCTCCGCTCTCTGGTTTATTATAACCAGGGTGCGCATGATTATAACCCTAGCGAATGATTCAAAATACATTCTTTTCGTTTTGTGCTCATTTTACGAATGAATTTACCAAGCGAGCATTCGCCAAAGAATGTTCGCACATACATAACAAACGAGTGAGAGCGCACAACAACGTTCGTTCGTTTCGTTTGGTGGTTGAAATTCTTTCTGACATTCTCTCACGAATGAAAACAAACATTCTCGAATTCTCGCGAATGCTCAAAACAGCAACAACAAACGTTCGTGAACTCACTAGTTCTTGGACATGTGTTTTGTTATTCCACACACTTTCTGCTACACACACATTCATTCGTTGTATGTGTGTGTTTAGTTTTTTTAATGATATTTTTGTTTGTTGTTGTTTTTAACAGTGTTCGCGAGCATTCCCGAATATTTGTTTTTTGAGTTTTTCAAAAGAATGTTCTTCAGCAACAAATGCTCGCGGAAGAATGAATCGACGACGCTCGCAGCGAAATTTTATCGGTCGTGATTTTTTCGTGCAATGCGAACATTTGCGAGAGGTTGCAAATGCTTGTTCATTCATTGTAACTTTTTAATTCGCGATAAATTGAAAATATTCGAATTTTCGCCAGTGAGCATTCGTGAGAAAGAGCGTATTTTAATCATTCTTCGCACCCTTTATAAGTAGTGTTTTTATTTGCATAAAAAATAAATATCCGATATTTTCCCTTATTATGGTAATAAAAAAAATTGAAACAGTTAATTAGTGAAATGATTTTTCTGCACTATTATTATGCTCTCCAGTATAAGTATATTTTGATCAGAATAAAATTATTTGTCGATTTGTACATGTCCGGCTGTCTGGCTCGCAGTATTTAAGATAATGCTTTGAAAATTTGCACATACATTGTTATTATTCGTATGATGTTTATTATTGAAAATGTGATATATTGGTACAAGTAAACCCACCCCATTATTCGAAATTTTGGGGATTTTTGTAAAAATTTTTAATCGAATTGGCTGTAGTTTGGTACTTTGAATCATTTGGTACATTTGGCAAATCTCCCTATCAAAAAAAAAAAAAAAAAAAAATATTGATATAGGCCCACTTTTTAGAACCGTCCCCATATAACGCTACTTTCCATTATTCGGTATTTTGGGAAGTTTGTGTATGATTTTCAATCAAATTGGCAATAATTTATTATTTTATCAATATAGGTCCACGTTTTGATATAGCTATAGCATGGAGGTACCACCGTTATTCTGTATTTTAGTTTGTTTGGGCAAGTTTTTAATCGAATAATCGAATCTTTGATTAAATATTCTGGGGAAAAAACCAAAACCAAAAATACCAATTTGCCAAAAATTTCGAAATAACATTCATTTAACTAATAGTAGTGAGAAGTAAACATTTATTTTAGAAACAATGCATTAATCCAGTCAAGCGAATAACATCATCAACACCGCCACATCTGAAACTAATCCATTCAACCCAAATTGTTTGTTTTTATTTGCGAACGGTGATGTGAGAAATGATTTGTTTAAATTTAGAAGAAAAATAAGAAAAAACGAAATCAACAATGTTTTATAGTTTAAATAAATATCGTATATATTTTCTGTATACCAAACAAATGGTTTCTTTTTGATGAATAAAACAAAATTGAAAAAACAAGAACACACACCAAACGGCAAATAATATTCCAGACTATTTTTGGAAATTTGGTTCAATTCAGAGTGCAAAAACACACAGAAGCAGCAGCAGCAACAAATGCAGTCAGTGCATCGACACTCAAACACACCGAAGAAAATGTGCAGACGATGGCCGCCGACACCGGCCATTAAAAATTGTTAGAATGCAAAAAATATCGTAAAATGAAATGCAACAAAACTGCGTAATTCGAAACGAAAATGGAGAAGAACAAGAAGAAAAAAAATAATAATGAAGACGCGAACATGAAATATAAAATTATATAACCATTTTGTAGTTGTGTTAATAATAATAATAATAAAAACAACAACACAGCCACAGCAACAACATTAACAAATTAGAAATGATGTAATTATGACAAATGTATGTCGGACAAGAGTAGTAAATCAATTTATGGCACAGTGTTCGGATTTATAAACAACTTTGTGTTTATTCAATCTTTTTTTTACATTGTAATTTTATAGAGAAACTTGCAGGTTCTGACAAAATCCGTCCTTGGCAAAGGGAATATTACTTATTCACATATCCTCTATGAATATTCCTTATATGAGGGTTTGTGTACGGCATCCTATATTGAAAGAAAAACGTTTCGGTTTAAAACCTGGTTGTATCACCAATCGACGCCTTGATACGTTCTTTGTCCCGAATTTTGAGATCGTTCATAAACCTAAGAGTTACTGCCGATAACATGAAAATATTCGTTGAAAATTGCATGTAAAACTTTAATAAAAAAAATCAAAATTGACTTTGCCTAACAAAGCAAGCTGGTGCATTGGTATTGTGGTGTAGCAACTCTTCCCACCAAAAATGATGATGATTGATTTTCGTTCACTTTATTTTCGTTCACTTATATATTTTGAAATTTCCGAGGTTTAGGCGTTTAAATTGACTGTAATGTAGTATTTTAATTACCAATGGGTGTGAAATCTTGTACCGAAAACTGTTAATTTTGTCTCAAACACTAATGTATAGAGGTAGACCGCATATAAGCGGACATTGCATTATTCGGTATTTAGGAGATTTTGAGCACGTTTTTCAACTCAAATCGGCTATGTTTCGAATGTAATTAGGGCATCCCATAGTTATGTACCTCTAATACATAAACCAACAATTTCATGCGAGTTTGATATTAAAATCTTCTAAGAAATACAATTTTAAATTTTTCTTATGAACTAGAATAAATGTTTTCTGTCTGCCATTTTGCTAATTTTTGTTCATACCACAGCCAGATATGTAGTCTTTCTAATCCTAATATCACTATAGTGGGTATCAATTAAAAGCTCAACCATTTTTCTTGGATGCACTGGATTATCACAACAGGAGCACATCTGGGAATTAACAAAATTGTATGGCTATGAAGTACCATACTATAAACTGGCGAATGAATCCAAGCATACCCTACACAACTAACTTCAGCATTCTCAGGTTTATGTCCTTTTGGAATAAACATTTTTCACACAAAAGTCTAGCTAAATATTGTCTGATCTTCATATGACTTCGAAAAGAGACAAACAAGAACGTAGACAAAATTAAAGTTTTTGGTTCATTTCATCCTCCAAGTATCAAAAGATCATTACCAAAAACAATTGATGTCGTTTTTGTCTAAAACCGAATTTACATACTAAATTCTGTGACGATTGGTGCATAACTGCGGTCGATACTTTGAATTATAATGGACATACATGGCTAGTTTAGCTAGTCGATTATCCAGCCTAGGACCAATATTTCGTGGCGTTACAAACTCTTGGTCCACACAAACTTAGTTGTGTAGGCCATAAATACGATCACGGTGCTTTAGAATGCCCTCCAAGACCAACCAAATCCAACGAAAGTTCTTCGGGGGAGGTATGCTTCGAAGCAAAATGTCGCCTTTTTTGCTTAAGCAACGTATATCAAAAATAAAAAATAAATAAATAAAATAAAAATTCGAAAAACAATTAATAGAATGCGAATGATTACTCTGTGAGACAAAATCGAGGTCATGGTTTGAATTGTTCATGGTGAACAATTCCTATTGGTGATGAAAGCCCTTGGTGAGAAGGAAGGGAAAATTCGTCATAGGCAAATGTTCGGAGATATGGCGTGATTATTGGCGATCCTATTATACTTGAATATATAGTTTTAAATTTTGATTTGGAGGAAAATAGATCCGGTTTTCTAAATTTTTGAACCGGATATTCAGATAACAAAAAACCGGTTTCAATACCTTATATGCATATCATTAGAAATCTAGTAAAAACCGTGCTAAATTTATTAAACCGTATTATTATCGGTTCTATTATCCGAATATCCGGTTCAAAAAATTTAGAAACCCTGCTCTTTCATCCTCGAAATTTATTTTTTTTGGTTTTTTTATGTTTTTAGAAAATTATTCGGACGAATGCGACAGTTATAGTTTATAATGAATGCGATGTAATGCAATCTCAAAAAATACATACAAAAACTACAAATCAAAATATTAAGCTATTTCTTCAAGTGTAGTAGGATCGCCAGCATATCTCCGAACTTTGACCTATGCCGAATTTTTTCTTCAGGGGTTTTCATATACTCACCAAGGGCTTTCATTCTTAATAGAAATTTTACACCCTCCAAAAATCTTGTAGCATAGGGATATGGACCATGGCAATGTGAGAAGTCACACCTTGCCTTAAATCAATTCGAATACGACTTTTGACATGATATATTTTTTTATTCCCGCACATTAGGAAAAATGCGAATTTCGAAACGATTTAAAATAAACCTTGCAACATTTTATATCAATCGCAGAGGCATGGCGTCTTTTGCAAACGATCTACATATATTATCAAACTTTTTACCATTCATATACATACATAAAATTTAATGTATTGTAGGAAGATAATTTAAATTATCCGAAGCCGATATATGCGCACAGTTGTACTGCATTGTCCAGTTTTTCATATTAAATATATTTAATGTTCTCTTTTAAATATCGAGATAAAACGGATTTTATTCGGCTAATGATAGTATGAGGTGAGATATCATTTGAGCTCTTTAAAATCTAAAGAGTATAAATAAGAATATCTGGCACTTACCTTCGAATCGATACCGATGATCTTGTTGCATTCCTCGCATGTATTGGCGAAGACATTCTCGTAGCATTTAATGCAATAGGGATGGTCGTCACGAATGACGTAACGTTGGCCAGTTAGGCTTTCGTCGCACTGCCAGCAGCAGAAATGGCCGGAATGCCAGTCCTTATCCATGGCCTTTGTATATTCACCACTGAAAATTAACTGTAAAAGAATAAAATAAAGAGACGTTTTTGTTGTTGGTAACCCGTTTACAGATATTGGTTGATATTTGACTTGGGTTTTCACATTCACAATTAAAGACACACAGATACGACTAAACAATACACATATAATAGACAAGATTACAACAATTGACAAAAGGAACAAAGAATGACAAGAACACTAGGGGAAAGGCCAAGTAAATTTAACAAAGTGTTGGTGTTTGTGGTTGTTTGTTTGTTTGTATGTGTAGAGTGGGCATGTATATTCGCAGGGATTTATTTGACAAGTGGATTTGGTTGTTAAATTTGTTGTAGAGATATTTTTGTTTTTGGTTTGTTGTGTTGGGTGTTTGTGTAAGTAAAATTAGTTGGTGGATTTATTAATCACCAGAATATAAATTATTTGGTGTTGTGTATGTGTTTCATTTGTATTTTGTTTGTTTCACTTTAAATTTAATTGCGGTGTATTTGGTTTTTTTAATTTTTTTTGTGTTATTTTTTTTTTGTTTGTGCAATATTTATTTGTGTAGTAAAATTCACTTCTATGGATTTTTTATGTATATAACTATTTTTTATATACTTGTTTTGTATTTATGTAGCTTTTTGTGTGTTATGTGTATTTGTATTTTGTGTACTTGTAATTAGTAGTGGACTGTTATATTAAACACTTATATAATTTATGATTGAAACATGTTGGGAATAATTTGTTGTACCTTTAATTTAGTCAAAGGAGTAACGTGTCGTTTGTAAAATTCATTTTGATATTTGCTTGGCTTTGTTTTTGGTATTTGGAAATAATTGTGTTTTTTGTGTTGGAGTTTGGTTTAGGAGTTTTTCATATAATTAATTTAGAAACTGTTTTTTTATAAACTGTAATAATAATTGTGGATTTATGTAGTTCATAAGATTTTAAATTTACTAAAAATATGAACATTGTGTTTGATATTTTTAAACATGATAAAATTTGATTTAACTCTTTAAAAATAAATGATTGTTTTTATATAATACTATTTTTTGTGAGAAAATGACATAGGAGGCATTTCAAAACCTTATCATTAAAATGGAAAAAATCCCATAGAAGATAGCCGAACGCAAATTCAATTCGAACTCAATTTTCAAAACACTAAACCAAAAGTTTTAAATCGATTAATCGTTCCCTTGAGAAAATAAAAATCCTGAACTGCCAAAAAATAGTATATTTGTGTGGAAATGTGACAACGACTTTCAAAATATGGAAATTGAGTAATAGCTATACACTGAGCACTGTAAAATCAATAGTGGGTCTGCTGTATATATTTCTGACCAAGGTAACACTAAGTTGTACCTGTCGCCATCTCACACTTCCATTGGAAACCTTTACAGCAATGACGTACTACTATGTGTTGTGTTGTTTATAGTGATTTGAAAAATCAATTTGCCAAAAAAATAATGCAATTAAATTGCGAACATTTTCGTGGGATCATTTTCACAACATTCAACGTGGATTATCCCTCTCAAAAATTCGTCGATGAACTTAAATCCGATAGCACTGTGAACAACTCAAACGAAGATTTATAAGATCATAACGGCCGATGTATCAAGGATATATGAAATGTATCACTTAACCAGCGCCTTTTTTATCAGAAAAACGGGAAATTAATGGGTCAACTTTGTTTAAAAATATCGAATTTTCACCAAACGTTGACAGCTAATTTTCTCTCCAAAATTGCTGAATTTTGGCAAAAAAATTGGTTTGTATTTGATATTGCTTAGGATCTGCCATAATTCTTCCAAATGGTAATAACTCAATTAATGCTTGGGCCATCATATTTCGATTTCGAAGATGTCCTTGAAAAGTTTGAGGACATGGAAATTGACTTTGAAGGAGGTGCAGAGCAAGATAAGGAATGCGGCTACTTTGAAAATTACAAAAAAGTTGAATAAATAAAACATCCTTGTGTAATGAAATATCCTTCACGTAGTTGAACAGAATAGATTGAATTTTAATAAAATATATTCAGGATCATTATAAAAATCATTGGTATTATGAATCTTTTATCTTTCTTCAGGATATCTTGTACCACAAAAAGGGGAGGATAGATATTAATATTACACTTTTAATATAATAAAATATAATTTTTTAATCTTTACAGGACGTTTTGGGATGTTTTATAGCATAATGTTCATATAAATTCGATATGCTTTATATTATACTTAAATCTATCCTTTAATCCTTTTGATTTAATCTTATAATTTTGAGTTTCACAAAATTTCTCTTAGTGGGGAATCGCGAATAATTTTTTTTAAATATAAAATAAATATTTTTTAAATTGTATGTAATTCCCGTAGCAGACTCCAGTTAAAAATTAGTCCTTTATATAGGATGTTTTTCATAATTAATAAATGTGTTCAGTTTCAATATTTTACACAATTTTTAATGAAATATGTCCATAAATACTCCATAAACACAAAATCACTTCACATTTCCACAGATTTCCTTTAAAGGAAACTTTTTATTTTATATTTTTCCGCAAGGATATACAAAATGAATTTTTTTCATCATTGGTTTTTATTATCGTTCAAACGACACGTACCCCTTTTCGTCGGCGGTTTGTTCAATTTCGGTTATTTGAACTTCAGACTCGCGACGTTTCGAGGTCTTCTTGACTTTCTTCGTTTTCTTGGAAACTTCCGAAACGCTTTGCATAATTTCAACATCCGCCATTGCTGTTGTTGTTTCTTGTTTTGTTGTACTTGACGCGAAAATTCAACTAAATAAAATTGAAATTTGGAAAATGCTGAGCCTTTATTTCAGATGCTGATCCGTTTAACGTACGTGTACCGCCCGCGTTTGACCGACTGAACTTTTTTCCAATTGGAATTTTCTATTTTGGCCAACGTTGTTAACCTCAGTGCTGTGGCTGTGAATGAGATTGTGGCCGCTGTCACCGTCAACGTGCTCTTCTTCTTCTGCTTTCTTTCTTTCGTTTTGCTTGGCTATTGCTCGGAATTTGATTTTGGTTTTGCTCGTTATTGAAATGCGGTGTTTTTCACGTTCTCAAGAAAAAACAAAATATAGAAACGATCAACAACCGACCGACCCGACCGTATGTTAATTTCAATTTCGAATGGCTTCTGAGATGAAAACTCACAAGACAATAAGACCGACCAGCCGCCAGAGAAACACACCACAATATTTTGCCCGTTTCGTCAGAACAAACTAAAGAATCGAAAAACATTAAAAGTTTCCTCGCCACGATGGGCCATGAGAGAATATTTAACTAGACGGCCAGAGAATAAATGAGTTCATTTTCATTTAATTCTCCCCATTTGGTGGAGGGAAAAATACGCCCAATATCTTTTTTTGGTGGTCTCAACGCCCAATGTAACCCACTGTGTGTGTGTGTTGTTGTTGGTATTGCCTTTTTAAAGTAAAAGTCAAGTGTATTTGAGAGAGAATTGTTAGGAAAATCTGTTGAATACATTTGAGTATTCTTGGCAGAAAGGGGGAGAGAGAGCGCGATTGCAACTGATCAATTTTTAATTTCCTGTGTGGAGTAATGAAGTACACACAAAACCCCTCTCCCTGGCTGCCCGCCACTACTTGAAAGATTTTTCACACACTCTGGTACACAAAAGTAGGAAATGCCTGCAAAACAAATAGCCACCCTGCTTTTTCTTAGTCGGAAGAGAAACATCGAATATGGAACACATTGCCTTCTCTAAAGTCCATGGAAGAAAGAAAATTCTATTTTGATCCAAGCAGCCACCATTAGGCGAGTGGGAATATATTTGTGGCGGCTATGGCTTTTTGTATACGGCATCTGTTACGTCGTAAGCGTATGAATCGCATAAACTGTATAAGGCGTATGGTCGATCGATCGGTCGTCCGTTCGATCGGTCCATAGCCTTAGCTGGTTGTTTTTCTTCATTCTAATTTAAAGTGAAATGTATTTGATATTAGGTGGAATTGAAATTGTTATTTAGAAAACTATATTATGTTTAATGGGGTTTTCAGCGGGATACGAAAACAAACAACACATACACACACACTTCCAACAACCCTCTAACCATTAAGTTGTACTTGTTGGAACTATACTGAACGAAGAAATGGAATAGTTTTTTGTTGTTGTTTTTTTATTGAAATTATTAATATTGTTGTTTTTATTTTTTGATCCATGGGGGGATTGTGTTTTTATAAACAACGTCATCGTAGAAATGACCATAAATCTTTGGTATGGGGGAAAATAATAATTCAAAGGAATGACTTGGTATAAAAATTCCTTAACCCCAAAATATTATTTCATTATTTTGGCATTTAACATTTAAGAAAAATTAAATATAACATATAAATTAAATCGAAACACTGGGTTACAATGATACTTGGGATTTGCAAAAATTTTGTAATAATTCGAAATTTTGAATAACTGAGGGAAGAGGGAAGTGAGAAAAAAATCAATTTAAAAGGATAGGCTGATAAGGAAAATGGAGAAAATTCATAGAAGAGCTAAAGATTTTTGGCAAACGGGACACTGATTTGAATTCACTAAAACTCTGCAGGAATGTAAAATGATAACACTTCTGATATTTAGCTAAACGAATATTTAGCTACCATTGTTTCAGAAATCACGAAAATAAGTAACAAATATTCATCAACGAGGACTATAGTTTTGGTCTAATAATGAAAATTCTAATGTTTATTATAAACCAGTGAGCGAAGCAGTATAGTCGGACGGGATCGACCATATGATACCCTACACAACAACCGCTGAACTAAAACTTTCTACGAATCAATATTCTGAGCCAGAACAATATTTCACGATATTCTTGACATAATAGAGGCCAACAACTCATCTTTATTACTCTAAACATTTAAATCATTAGATTAAAATTTTATTATTTTACAAACAAATGACTTATTTGACCTCCTAAATATTGACCGATCAAAACGGACATTATCAATAGTAGACGTTCGCTTATAATTATGTCCTCTAGAAAGACTAGTAAACTTGACAAAAATAA